ATCTTCTGAGATTGTCTTCTACAGGGTCGATCACCGTATGCTCGGCTCTAACTGCTGTGCAAGGTACCAAAGTCTGCTCTGTACGTTGGGTCTGACCGTCATAATCTTGGCCTTCCACGTAAGATGATTGTTTTTGAGTCAAAGTATTTATAGAAAGTTTCAGTAAACAAGTTTCATTAAGATTCATATTATTGTTTGTTTGACTTGTTTTTTTTCTTAATGTTATAATTTCTTGTCATAGTCAATTTAGGTTATTATTATTTTTATTAGAAGGTTGAATCTGTTCAGTATTATGTAAACTATTTGTTCTATATTGAAAGTTTGTTTGATTTCTTATATTAAATTTTTATTTGAAATATAAATAATATATAGCAATATTAACAAACTTTATATTGAGCAGTCTGGAATATATAATTATATATAGATTCAAAAAAGTTATTTCACTAGTAATAAAGTCATCATTTTGGTCTTCTAACATTTTAATATTATTAGTAAATTTATTATAACCTAGTATAGATCTTTCTATTTATTAGATTTTTGCAATTTATGGGTTTTTAAGAAACATTTTTATAGTTGTCAGTCTAATTCTGTTTCTTCTGCATATTAATGTAAAAGTTCAATATTGTCAATTATTAATTGTAATCATAATAATAAGTTTTGGCTTTGTAAAAAAGTATTACATGCTTCATGCCAAGCATTATAATTTGTTATAAAATCATTTACAGTAATCCATGTTTTGAAAAGTATAAGAACACAAAGATCATAATATTTAGTATTCTCAAGATTATTTTTATAAAGCACTCCTTTTTTACATAATACAGGTACTTTTACATTTCATAAATTTAATAAATTTGTATATATGTTGAGTATTAAGGATGTATAGTATTGTTGTTGCACATTTTATTACATTCTCTTTTCAATTTAAAAAGAAAAATTAATACACTCTTGTTGTTTATCTTTTATAACTTTTTTGTCTAGTAAGTTTATCTAATTATTAATCATTTATTTTTTTTTTATGAATCATTGCTGCATAATTATAAAAACACATATTTTTTAGTTGTTTTTCACAATAAATATAATCATTGTAATTACCAATACCCAAAAGATAGATTAATATTTGAGATTCAGTCATCTCTATTTGGTCTAAAATTTTATTAAGAAATATTGTGACAAGTCATCATAATCTTGGTATGTATTCTTTTAATAGTTTATCTAATACTTTAATAATAAATTTGTTTAAAGTTATGACACATATAAGAAACAAATTATAAATATTTGTATCTGTTTTAGTAATGTAATCTGTAATATAATAAATGTATGCAAGTATTAATTTAGTAGTTGCAATGAATTTAATATCATTATTTTTATGACAACTAGCAGTTATATAAGGATTATAATTATTAATATAAGTATTAAGATATTAAAGAATGATAATTCTAAATTTGGTATAAATTTTAGATATTTCAACTAATTCTCAAGAAAATTTAAAATAATAGTTAGATGTTAAACTATGATTATATTTTTTACAAAACTTTATACATCTGTGAACTAGTTTATATTTTGCAATTGCAAGAATATCTAAATAAAATTTTTTATTAAAATTATTAGATCAAAAGTCTAAAATAGGTAAAAAAGATAGATGTATTTTTTTTTTTAAATTTGTTTTCTAGATTTTATATTCAGAATATAACATTTCATCTGTTATATAATTACTATTAGGAAAAAGATAACTAATATCTTCTTTAACAATTTTATTTAAATAGTTCATTATTTATATTTTAAAGTTTTCAACATTTTAAAGATAATTTTACATTTCAACAAGATTAAAAGCACCATAAAGCCAGATTAATATATGACAGTAAGATGGCCTACAATTCTAATACTCAGTTATTGAATAATAATTTTTTATTTACTTAATATACTGCTATTTGATTTTCTATAACTAAGAATTATTTTGATTATTTTTGTTATTATTACATTATAATATTTAGTAATTGCAGTTAGATCAAGGTATGCTAATCTAGCTTTTTTAGTAGCTATAGAAAAGTTTTCTGAAAATAAACTATTAACATTAATTTTTTTTCTTGCATACATCATTACAATTAGACTATAAAGGTTTACAGAATTAATTGTCATGAATATTGAAGATGCATTATTTTGTAAAGTAATAGCATAAATTTTATTATTAAGATAATTATGTAATTAGTATAACCCCATAACTATTTCATTAATAATATTAATGTTTCTTAATAATTCAAGTACAGCATTGTTGTTTTTAAAATTTATTTTCATGACTACTAACTTTATAAGAAAATAAGACCAGAAATATGACAGGCAAAAATGTAAAATTGATATATTCATTCTTAAATTTATTTGAATGTGGCATTATGATTATATTTGAATAGTTATTTTCATTATTTGATGAGTTTTGTAATAATTTTTCAAATAATTTTAATATATAGTTTTTTCAGAAATAGGAATATTATCTAAATATGTTATACTCAAGTTCTTTAATTTAGAAATACTATTAATAGGATTATATAATTCATTATAATCAGAAATTTCTTTTTTATTGAATTCATTTTCTGTATAATTGTCATTATTTACATTACTATCTATTGAATCTGTCATATATCTAGTATAATGTTCAATTTTTTCTGAGTTAATATTGACCATTATAGTAGTTGCTCTTAAAGCAATTGATATCTCATTTTTTGATAATGAATTTAATATTGTCTCATCAAGTTTTATATTTTTGTAAAGAATGTTATAATTTATTAACCAATTCAATACAGTTGCAACTTTATTTTTCCTTATATGTAATATTTTTTTTAACTGTTCTTGTTTGATAAAAAAAACTTTTAAATAACTACATAATCAGTATAAGGATAAAGGTAAAATAATGATTAGGAAAGTTGGGTCTTGTATAAATGTAATTACATGATCTTTTAATTTATAATGAATGTATCTTTAATTAGTAAGCTGAATAAAGTTTATATATAAATAACTAGTGGAAATTAAAACCTATTCAGAAATTGTTAATCCTTGAAGACATGATGACATTGATCCAATCTACATATTAGCTAGAGAGAGCAATGGAATTTTATTCACATCTAATGATCATTTACAAGTGTAACATATCTGAAGATCAAACAGATTTTCATTCCTTTCATTCAAATTTCATTGAATAAATCCACTTTTGTCTAGTAAAACTTTATAACCACTATTGTCAACATATGAATGCTTATATAAAAAATCAATTTTATAAATTGACTTTTTGAATTCTTTATTGACTTCAAGTAATAACAAATGTATCTCTTTGGTATTAATATCTGTTAAGCATTTTTGAAAAAATAGTTCAAAACAAACTGCACAAGATAGTTCTCATAATGCATCGCAATTAATATTTTTTCAAAATTTTGTCAATGCATTATTTGCAATAACTCTGTCAATTTGCTGTGATCAGTTTACAAATATCTCTTTTAATAAATTGAATTTACTAATTCTGAAACACGTAGTAGAACATTAGCCTTTTTCACTTTAATATCTTCTTTGATACTGGTTTTTTGTCTTTTAGTTTGATTTATCTCTCATCATACATGTTGTTGTACTTGTCTACACTTGCGATAGTTTACTTGTGTCTGTTTAGAACCTCATTGTCTTCTATGCCCTACTGGAAATTGTGAGATCATTTCTGAAAAATAAATCAAAAAAATAAATATTCAATTAATTAATTAAATCGAAGGTTAGTACTTTTATCCAATAAAGTTAAACATAATGATGATAATGAATAGTCATCTCAAAAATTTCAATATATATAATAAATTAACAAGATTTTATTATGCTAATATATGTACAATCATCAATTTTAATGAATCACTTTTTTTATTTTTTAGTATTAAAATTAACTGTCATGTAAATCAAAAAATGCACTATGATTTTAAGTCAGGTGCTAAATGTAAATCGCAAGAATTTAGCTCTCTAAGGTTAAAACATGACTATTTACTTAAAATGTTACCAACCTTTCTAGAAACTTTAATTTAACAAAATTTAGAACTTCATACAAACACTTTACAATAATTTACATCATAATTACTATTTAATCGAAGATCATGACATTTATAAATTTTTGTTACCATGGTCAAGATCTTGCAAATGAATTTCTGAAAAGCATTTCAAAACTGTATTACTATTGCAATATACAATATCTAACATAATTTTCTTTACAGTCATACGTTCACACAGATACGTAGTGTTCTTAATAAGTTACACACATTAATCATGTTAGTACATCATGATAAAGAAATTATCTACAAAACATTGTATTCTTTATCATAATATACGGTATCATATGTAATTTTTCTTCAGCATATTCTTACAAAGATATTGAGTATTCCTAACAAAGTGCATACATTCATTGCTGCCAGTACATAATGACAGGAAATTTATCTATAAAATACTGTATTTCTTATTACATCATACAGTATTTGACGAAATATTCTTTATCATTATATTCTCACAAGTATGGAGTATTCCTAACAAGGTATATAATTTAGTGCAAATTTTCACACAATCATACATAAGATATTACAGTGACATGTTGCTACATTACATAAATATCAATTCATACCCTAAATAGAAAAAATCTATATACATGTAACCATAATATTTCCAAAGTTGGAAAATTTCCAAACATGGAAATAAATATAGGCTTCAAAAAAGTTGAACAGAACCATCCCTCACACATTTCATGTGATCGTACTGGCATAAAATGATTTTTTTATTAACCATCAACATATTAAGTGAAAATTGAATTCGAATTTCATTGCAACTTAAGTCAATTTAGAATTAATAAAAATTTGATTTTGATGTACTACATATAATTTACAAATTCTAGATGTTAAAATTCTCATTCGTATTCATTTTTTCTGGTTTAATAAAATAAATATCGCTCTAAAATTATGTAACCACTAATCTTATTATAGACGTAAATTATACTTTCTATATAAGGGATACATACTCGAATAATACAAATAGATTGCTATTACAATGTTAAAATAATTACAAAGCAAATAAATAATTATATTAAAAACTACTGTATTTAATAGTAATTCTGGTGTATTTATAAAAAAAAAACATTTAATAAACTATATATCGATATGTGATGTGCCAGGTGTTGCAATAGAATTACGATAATTATTGCGAACATGAAATTTCTTATAAATGAAAAATCCAGTAATAACTATTACAACAAGAGCAACTATTACAGCTATAGAAATACCAATCTTTGCACCTAATGAGAGAGAATTATTAGGACCATATATATTTGATGCATCAAAATAATTAATCCATGTATAATCCTGTGTATTTAATATATATAAATCACTATTTAATGTCAACGATGAATTTGGTTTTTGTGGTTGTGAAGGAACAATAACACCTAGACATAAAGTAAAATTAAATCATTGAGTTAGAAATTTATTATAAAATTAGTACGCCAGATGGATTAATCTAAGATATAATACAACATTAGAGAATTATGGTTCGCTAAAGTTTTTTTATATTTAAATTAATCTTGGGCACTAAGCCAATCCAAGTTAAAACGGTATTATTACCAAATGCAACGATCATATATCTTCCATATATTGATGCTGAATGAAACTTAAGTCCTCGTGGAGCTTTATCCTTAATAGCAGTCCACATATACGGTGAAACACCTACATTTAATAAAGCAACATCAGGTTGTGGTTGAATGCCATTTTTTCCTTGTCCACCATAAATAATAATAAGTCCATCTTGAGCTATTTAAAAATAATATTATAAATAATTATAAATAATTATAATAATAATAATTAATTGTGGAAACATTATTTTAAAGCACGTACATAAAACAGCCGAATGTCCATAACGAGCAGTAATTGAATCACCCTTAGCATTCTAAAAAAAACAAGGATATGTTCTTTTAAATTATTATATCACGTGTAGCAAGTATGTAATACGTACCATAAGTAACCATTTTAAATTCGTAGTATCAAATACAGGAATCTACTTGATTTAATTCAATTATTATTATACAACATATAAATATACAACATATAAATTTGAAAGTTTTCTAAAAATCGTAAATTACAAATACCTCAGTTATATCAATAATAGAGGAATTGCTTGTACCACCAATATAATATATAAGATTGTCTTTTATTACGGCACTATAAGTTGCACGAGCAAGTGGGGCATTAGACAAAATTAATGTTGACCATTTCATTGCTTTTGTGTCAAATATATTCATGTCATTATAATAAAAATCAGTGTTTGTTGTAGAATTAGAGTTTGTTATTGTTAAGTTTTCAAAATCTCCTCCAAAAATGTAATATTTTCCATTATTGCCAGAAACATCCATTGCATCTGTACGTCCTACAAAGGTATTATTAAAATTATCAATATCCGGAGTTGTCCATTGTAATTTATTAAAATCAAATTTATAGACAGATGATGGTGGATAAGTAATTGATGAATTTTGTGTGTTCATTGATAATCCACCGACTAAGAAAACATTGGAACCATCAATAGAGAGACATGGTAGAGCACCATAAAGTGAAGTTGGAATTGGCGAAATAACATTTAGATCCCATGAAGGTGAAGTAATACTGAATGAAGTCGATAAATCAAGATATACTACTTGATCAGTATACCATGGATTTCGGTTATTGCCACCGAAAAAGTAGAGTTTACTCCCAGATAAAACGCTAGCTTGTCCAATTCGACCATCAGGACTAAAACCTGTCACGATTGTGAACGCTAAACTAATGACTATTAGCGAAAAAAACGATGTCTGAAAGGGATTCATCTTCAAATCTGATTATATTACATAAATATTTATACGACCTTTATATGCAAGATAATTTTCACAATCGAGAAATATATATTGCTAAAAAAGCGCACTATTTTATTAAACGTACGTACATTATATGTCGGATATAAAGTTTATGATCAACAGGTACATTTAATGCTTGTAATTAGAGATGCAGGCGAATCGTCCCAATGATGTTACGGCTTAAGCCGTAACTATGTCGTAACTAGTTACGGCATTCATCGCCTGCACCTCTACTTGCAATACAACAGTAGGGTGCCACAATTCACTCATGACCTATGTATGCACGTTGTGACAGGCTAGGGGTCACGTTAAAATTCTATTTTATTTTATTTTTTTTTAGTTTATTATTTATTATTACCTGTATTTCGAATTAGCTATAAGTAGAGAAATTCAACTAGTTAGTATAACCCTAATATGGTAAGGAAGGATCGACGCAGATACAATGTACACTTACCGGTTTTTGTACATGCCAAGCTATTGTCACGGGAAAATGCGGCGAATCCAAGGATGTAGCCAATGCGACGAATTGTCGCTTCAAAATCGTCGACGTCGCGTAACGTTACTCGAAAGCAAGACGAGGCGGTACTATTTGGCAATGGTTAAGGCGGCTTTCGAGCAAGTTACCAGGTAAGTGTAGGGACTTTTTAAAAGAACGTTTGTGTTCTTTGACACTTTTTATAATTTATAACTGTTTTTATTTGTAATTTATTAATAATTTCCTTTAAGTTACAGGAGTATGGGGGTCAGGTGTCATATCCCACTTAATGTCAAAAACGAAGGTCTTTTATAAGAATTATCAGTGAAGTATGTTTGGAACATTCTCCCTTTCTTTGCATTAATGTTTTCTTTTTCTGTTAATTATACAATTCCACTCTTTGACTCATGATTTCATCTTTTAATTACATTCTCTATTTCATAGGTCCCACTGATAGAGCTACAGCTGCATCTTCCAAAATGTCTTTGTAGGTTGAAGGTTCTGTTGTAAGCCTGTGAAAGTAAGTATTATATTTTTTCTTATTGTGCATCATGGTAATTCTATTAGGTTTTTTTTCTTTTTAGGTTAGTGATAATTGTCACATGTGAGGCTCAGACTTACAATTATTGGTGACTTGTTCTGAATCTTGGGGTTTCTTTTTTTTTTTTAAAAATATTAACGATGAGGCCATGCCTTTAATTTTATTAAAATTCAATTGAAGTTTTTATAAAGAAAAGTTTTCTTTTAAATTACATATGAAGAATAAAGACTCAGACATATAATCTATGACCTAAACCTACAAGAGTGATCAAGGCTCACCTAGATTTGGGTTTGAGTAATAATATAAGAGAGAGGGGTATGGTATTTAATCCATTGGATAGCCCAAAGATCGATTTTAGTAATAATTTGTGGTATTGAAATAGAAGGTAGAGGTGGGTTAGAAGAGTGACTATGAGTTGTGTTAGTAGAAAGTGTGGTTTGAGACTGTGCAGAATGTGAAATATAGTATGGAATCCATATTTTTTGTAAATTTATTGGTTTAAATAGAGAAGAAGTTTGATGGAAAGAGTAGTAGCAATATGATAGAAAATAGAAGAATTGTGAATAGTAGAGATAAGGTCAGTAGGAATTAGACCAAATAGAGTAGAAATAAGTGATGGTATGTGTAAAGAGTTATGCAGTTTGAAACTGTTAAGTGTAAGAATTTCAGTATGTAAATCAAAAACTAAATTGGTAAACATGTCAAAATTAGTTGTATTTAGGATACTCTGAAGAGAGTTAGAGATTAGGTAATAAATTGTTTGAGTTGATGGGCAGATAGCCCAGTGGAATGAGAAGCTAGTTTGATTGCATTGGTGACAGGAAGAAGAAAATGAAGAGTTGTATTTATAAAGAATATGAGAAACAGGAAGTTCATTTGTAAGAATTTTAATTCAAAAAGTTTTCAAAATAGATGAATAAAAGCTGTAAGCAAAGTTGGAAATTTTTTGATTGTTGTTGATATAGAACTATGTAGCTTTCCAGTTAATGTCAGATGCAATGGTAGACCATTGTTGAAAACAGTGTTGAGATGTCCAGAGTGATATAATGTGAGCTTGGCATATGGTTCAAATAGAGTGTCAGATAGGAATTTCAATATGAAATTCATCGATAAAAGGTGTATAGTTGAGGTTGTAAGAGTTGCTAATTAAGAATATTAGGTAAGATAATATTTGATGATTACAAGCAAGTTAATCAGCAAGATTGTTGAATGGGTCATCTTGGTGTGCAGTAATTTTGTGAAAAATAAGTTGGATTTCATAAAACTTAATAAAATTGATAAGTGTTTGCCAGATAGAGAAATATAGAGT